ACTGGTGGGGTCCCTCGGCCTGGCCTGTGCCCTCTCGCAATCCGAGACCCCTCCAGGGATGTCAGAGAGCCAGTTTCAGCCCGATCCCACAGGCCAGGCCAAGGGACCCCACTGGTGCATGAATCCATGCACCAGGCCTCTAGTATTCTAATAATATTACAGAAGTATCAATTAATTGCTAAGAAATAGAACCCTCTTGTCACAATTTATGGTAGAAAGAGTGGACTTTTGAGATAGCTATCTTCAAATTCCATCTCAACCACTTATCTATGAGACTTTAGCAAATTAAACTTTCTGAATCTCAGTTTCCTAACACAATGTGCCTAAAGATACATACTTTATTTGAATCACTATGAGAGACAAAACCAACATTTTGGCAGAAAGCAGGTATATAATGAATGGTTACAGCTGCTGCCATTCTTATTATTATTAATTTTACTTTTTTAATATTTTTATTGATTTCAGAGAGGAAGAGAGAGGGAGAGAGAGATAGAAACATCAATGGTGAGAGAGAATCATTGATCGGCTGCTTCCTGCATGCTCCCTACTGGGGGCTGAGCCCGCAACTCGAGCATGTGCCCCTGACCGGAATAGAACCGGGGACCTTTCAGTCCGCAGGCCGACGCTCTATCTACTGAACCAAACCAGCTAGGGCATTGATTTTATTATTAATATTAAACTGGTTATACCATGATTATCCTTAGATGAATGGATAAACATAAGGGGGAAATCTGCTCTTCTCTGAGGCAAGTTTTGACCCTGCTTTTCTTATTCCCACCTGTTTTAAAATAAATGTTTTCTACCATAAGGCTTAGTGTAGGAAACTATAAAGTCTACATAGTTACATCATCTGTGTTAGAAATAAAAATGACCTAGTCATTTTGGTTCATAATCCACACTTACTTATGATTCTTATTTCAAAATTACTATACCCCTTTAATTTATCAACAGGAAATAACCCATTTTAATAAACATTAAAATAGTTTTATTCCACAGCAAGTTATGGAAGGAGGAAAGTCACTCATGGAAAGAACTATAAGCACTGAATCCATGTGGGGGGAAAAGGGTTATCTGGATTTTTGCATATTAAATGTAAATCAGTCAACATTTGAATGCATCAGTGCCAATCACTACTAAAATTATGTAAATTTCTGCTGGACCCCAGCAGAAAGCTCAGTGTGATAGTTAAATCTCAATTCTCCACAACTCTAATTGTTATTATTGGACCTTGAGGAAAGAGGCAAAAAGTGCAACTACTGGAAGCAGGCATTTACTCACAAAACATCTAACCTCTGGAGATCTAAAAGGGATTTAAAAGAACCACCTAATCAAATTTCTAACACCGTCTATCTACATCATAAAACAGTATCATATGATAAAAATGATCATTTTGATGCACCGTTATTCCTTAAGTCAACAAAAACTATTCTGTTCCATTTAACAGAGTCTTATTACCAAGGTGAGACTTGAACTCCCAAGGAAAAGAGCCATTAACCCTATATTGTCTGAAATGCAAAGCCCTGTCTAGAATTAAAGAGATAAACCCTAAAGTACATGAGAAGTGTGCATTCACCAATTTACAAGTTAAACTGATGCTTATGGACACATTTTTCTACAAGACATAAATGCTGGTCCTTTCATCAGGCAAGTAGGTTCAAATCCTAAAGGACTCAGTCCCTGGTATTCATCAGCCCATGGTCCTGTGCCAGCCTGACATTCCTCTCGGTCTCCTGACACTGGCTCCATGTCCCCGATGCTTTCCCACACATCCACACTCCGCTTACCACAAAGTGCACTTACCACTTAGTGCTTTTAACTTCTGATACAAGCAACAACAATGGGTAGGTGAAAACACAATTGTGAAAAGAGAAATATCAGAATCAAAACTTTCATCTTAAAATAAAAGAGGAAAACAATAACATATTTACTGTTATTTGTGAATCAATCAGAATCCATGGAAAAATAGCAGATGCCTACAATGCATGCCAGTTTTATAGATAGACATAGATATAAACACATCTATATATCTATACCCTCCTCCTTCGCTAGCTATTTCAGACAAGTGCCTGGCTCTGGAGAAAACTCTATTCAAAAACAGTCTACTCAACACCCAGCCCATGTGGCTCAGTGGTTGAGCACTGACCCACAAACCAGGAGGTCACGCTTCAATTCCCAGTCAGGGCACGTGCCTGGGTTGTGGGCTCCATCCCCAGTGGGGGGTGTGCAGGAGGCAGCCAAGCCGATGATTCTCTCTCATCATTGATGTTTCTATCTCTCTCTCTCCCTCGCCCTTCCTCTCTCTGAAATCAATTAAAATATATATACCTTTAAAAAAAAGTCTACTCAACTACATTCCTGTTTCTCATATGGACCATTATGTCATTACGATAATCAAGCAGCACTGTATTTAATACACATTAGGTTGAAACCTTCTGTAGTAAACAGCAAGAAGAAGAATTTAGGGATAACAAACAGTGATATAATAAAAGAGGAGGAAGAAAACATAGAACTGTCTTTTAATAATAAACATAAGAATAGAATGTAACCATTAATGTAATCTGAAACTAACCACGCCCTGAAAATTGTTTTATGAAAAGAAACACATCTTATCACCAATTTACAAGTTAAACTGATGCTTATGGACACATTTTTCTACAAGACATAAATGCTGGTCCTTTCATCAGGCAAGTAGGTTCAAATCCTAAAGGACTCAGTCCCTGGTATTCATCAGCCCATGGTCCTGTGCCAGCCTGACATTCCTCTCGGTCTCCTGACACTGGCTCCATGTCCCCGATGCTTTCCCACACATCCACACTCCGCTTACCACAAAGTGCACTTACCACTTAGTGCTTTTAACTTCTGATACAAGCAACAACAATGGGTAGGTGAAAACACAATTGTGAAAAGAGAAATATCAGAATCAAAACTTTCATCTTAAAATAAAAGAGGAAAATAATAACATATTTACTGAGCACTTGTGAATCAATCAGAATCCATGGAAAAACAGCAGATACCTATAATGCTTGCCAATGTTTTATAGATAAACATACATATAAACACATCTACACTGAGTGGCCAGATTATTATGACCGGCCAGATTATTATGACCACCCCATCAGTACAATGAAGTGAATTAGTTATGCAAATATGCTGGTCCTTTCATCAGGCAAGTAGGTTCAAATCCTAAAGGACTCAGTCCCTGGTATTCATCAGCCCATGGTCCTGTGCCAGCCTGACATTCCTCTCGGTCTCCTGACACTGGCTCCATCTCCCCGATACTTTCCCACACATCCACACTCCGCTTACCACAAAGTGCACTTACCACTTAGTGCTTTTAACTTCTGATACAAGCAACAAACAAGGGGTGGTGAAAACACAATTGTGAAAAGAGAAATATCAGAATCAAAACTTTCATCTTAAAATAAAAGAGGAAAACAATAACATATTTACTGTTATTTGTGAATCAATCAGAATCCATGGAAAAATAGCAGATGCCTACAATGCATGCCAGTTTTATAGATAGACATAGATATAAACACATCTATATATCTATACCCTCCTCCTTCGCTAGCTATTTCAGACAAGTGCCTGGCTCTGGAGAAAACTCTATTCAAAAACAGTCTACTCAACACCCAGCCCATGTGGCTCAGTGGTTGAGCACTGACCCACAAACCAGGGGGTCACGCTTCAATTCCCAGTCAGGGCACGTGCCTGGGTTGTGGGCTCCATCCCCAGTGGGGGGTGTGCAGGAGGCAGCCAAGCCGATGATTCTCTCTCATCATTGATGTTTCTATCTCTCTCTCTCCCTCGCCCTTCCTCTCTCTGAAATCAATTAAAATATATATACCTTTAAAAAAAAGTCTACTCAACTACATTCCTGTTTCTCATATGGACCATTATGTCATTACGATAATCAAGCAGCACTGTATTTAATACACATTAGGTTGAAACCTTCTGTAGTAAACAGCAAGAAGAAGAATTTAGGGATAACAAACAGTGACATAATAAAAGAGGAGGAAGAAAACATAGAACTGTCTTTTAATAATAAACATAAGAATAGAATGTAACCATTAATGTAATCTGAAACTAACCACGCCCTGAAAATTGTTTTATGAAAAGAAACACATCTTAGTTTGGAATTAAAATTAAAGTGACTCTAAGAAGTGTCACTTTACATGTAAAATGTGACAGAGTAAAGGAACAGGAAAAGGCAACTTTCACATGCACCTATAAAGTTGCCACAGGTGTTTTATTTAGCAAAACACTTTGTTGGTGCCTATATTTACCATACCTGAACATACTGTTCTGCCATGCTGCATGTTAATAAAGAATACAAAACAAAATAGGGAAATGTTAGCAGAATAAAACATAAAACGATTGCATGGAGAATTACAAAATTAATTCACAAGCTTTTATCTGGTATTTGACATGCATTAGCAATTTAACAATTTTTAACTCAATTAACAAACCATGCATCTCTTAGTTATGACCGGGTTACCTACTAGATGGGTTTGTTAAAATATTTTGTCCTTTTCAGGACTCAGAACAAGTTGTAAGGTCCTGTTACAGGAGTTTCCTTTTAAATCAGTTTTTAATTCACTTATTAAGCACAAAGAGAATACGAAAACAAAGATATGCCTTTAAGGTTGTATCTATTGGGTACTGTTTTTAGAATAAAGATTTTTGTCATTGTGTAGCATCATGTAAAAATAACCAATGTCACAGTGAAGTGCTGCAGCAAATAGAGAATAAGAAAACTAAGTTTGAAAAAAAGAAAAAGAAAAAAAAAGAAAACTAAGTTTGTAACCTCAGACATGCAAAATACATTTTAACTGAAAAAAAACAGGAAGCTGTACGAGTTGTTGGTAGTTCTTAGTTCTGAGGGGATAAATTTCCATTTAAAACTTTTCAACAGATTCAAAAACACAATGACTATTGACTCAGCTCACTACCATTCCAGTCGCATGTGGCAAAAGGGCTAACCCCACTCCAGCACTTACTTCTCTTCTGTGACACGGCCTGCAAGCACGCAGTCACAATATCGCAGTTCTTCTGGACTTTATGCAGAAGCCGATCTTTCTGCTTCAGCTGCCGGAGTAACTTCGCCGACTGAATGCCAATTCTGTACTTAAGCTCTCTGAGGATCGTCTTCAGTTCATTAGTGTCTATTAGAAAAGAAGATTTAAAATAGAACAATAAACACCCTGAGAGGAATACAAATGCCAACATGATACTAATCGTAAGATAATTATCTAGATTCTAGAACATCCATGCAGGTAATTCTGGGTTCTTACTCAGTATTCAGTTAAGATATTCTGATCAAATAAGTCACTCATCCATTTCTTGCCCTGTCAATGAGACAAATATTGTAAAATAAATTTTATCCACCTGTAATATGTAAGCAAGACTCTTAACTTTTACCATATTTAGCTCTGGTTGCAAATTTGCCTTTCATAGCTTGAAAACAGGCATGTATATCTGGTATTATCAATGTACTTAGAGACTAAGTTGCAAGAAAATAATCTTTTCGAGTCTGTTACATCAACGATAAAGCTGAGAAAATTCTGTTGTTAGTCCTCACTGAAGGATATTTTCCCATTGATTTTTTTTTAAATATATTTTATTGATTTTTTACAGAGAGGAAGGGAGAGAGATAGAGAAAGTCAGAAACATCGATGAGAGAGAAACATCGATCAGCTGCCTCCTGCACATCTCCTACTGGGGATGTGCCTCACTTAGTATTCAGTTAAGATATTCTAATCAAATAAGTCACTCATCCATTTCTTGCCCTGTCAATGAGACAAATACCGTAAAATAAATTTTATCCACCTGTAATATGTAAGCAAGACTCTTAACTTTTACCATATTTAGCTCTGGTTGCAAATTTGCCTTTCATAGCTTGAAAACTGGCATGTATATTTGGTATCATCAATGTACTTAGAGACTAAGCTGCAAGAAAATAATCTTTTCGAGTCTGTTGCATCAAAGATAGACTTCATAAATATTTTGTTGTTGTTGTTAGTCCTCACTGAAGGATATTTTTCCATTGATTTTTAAAGAGAGTTGAAGGGAGGGAGGATGGGGAGAGACAGAGAGAGAGAAACATCAATGTGAGAGAGACACATCGATTGTTTGCCTCCCGCATGGGCCCCAACCACGACCTGGGATCAAGCCTGCAACCGAGGCGCCTGCCCTTGACCGGAATCAAACCTGTGACCCTTCAGTCCACTCTATCCACTGAGCCAAACAAGCTAGGGCCTGATAAATATTTTTTAAAGTATTCACCTTTGTTTGTAAATAATCAGTCAAAAGTAAATACTACTACCACATTTTCTAATGCAGATATATGTGAAAATACTGTTTTCGTTTTAAATATACAGTTTTCCAATAGCTTGAATATTAGGTACAATATCTCATCTTCGAAACTCAGTAATTTTTCAAATGTGCAGAAAGTAGATTTCCTTTAAATGAATAAATTAAAAATAATTCTATATTCATAAAGCTAATATTCTCAACAGCAGTTTTCTACAAGTGAACAAAAGACTTGGGAATCAGAGATGTCAACAGTCTTTATGTGAGTGACCATTACAATTTGGGAGTGTTGTTTGCCACTCCTGACATTACCGTCAGTCATTACAGTGTGACCAGCCAGGCAGGAAAGCCTTCTGCTCAGCTTGGCACTGGCTAGGCCCTCAGTAGAGGTCCTGTGTGGGGGTTGGATCTACTCACGTTGAAAATGATTTGGAGAAACTAGGCAGGATCAGAAGAGAACAAAAGTAAGAAAAGTACTTCAGAGGTCAGAGGAAATGAACTTTTTGAGTCAGTATAAGAGAAGTTCAGGGCGTTGCTTTAACCTCTGTCATAGCTGACCACGTCATTTGGAAAATGCTAATTGACCTTGAGTGAACAAGAACTTCCTTTGGACCAACCAACTATCCGTGTGATCTTAGGCAAGGTCGTGCTCAAAGACTCAAAGTATGCTTAGAAAACTAGATTATTCTGAGAAACAAATGTGAATACTTTTTATAAACATTAACATAAATAGCACTAAAATAAGAAGAAGGAATGTCTATGAAGAAGAGAACACAGGCCAGTTATTTCTCTCACCCTGAGTTCAAACACGGTGGCATGTCATGCGAAATCAGAGCTCACTTAGGTTAAATGAAACTACTTGGGTTCTAAGAATGGTCAACTACGAGAATCAGCTACCAGAGGAGATCAGAGGCTCTTCATTCTTAGATTCCTTCAGAGAGAGCAGGTAGCCTTTCTTTGAATGTTTAAAATTTTTCCTTCTAGGGCAGCGTTTCTCAACCTGTGGGTCGCGACCCCTTTGGGGTCAAACGACCCTTTCACAGGGGTCGCCTAAGACCATCCTGCATATCAGATATTTACATTACGATTC